TTCTTCTTCTTCTTCTTCTTCTTCTTCTTCTTCTTCTTCTTTCTTCTGCTGCTGTTGGTGCTGCTATGAAACTTCAGTTCATGGGATGATTGCGATAAATATGTTTATCAGATTATTTAAAAATAAATTATAAATAATTACGTAAGTTAGTAGGCAATAATTTGTGAATATTTCCTCGTACGTAAGTTAGTAGACAATAATAATTATGTTCTTTTCACGTTTATTGTTTCCAAAATTTATGATTTAGATACTATTGGCAATCTGATTATTTATCTAGTATGTTAGAAAACTTTTTCAAAAACTTCAGCTTATACAGTGCTGGAGTTTTTACAAATGAACTAAATAACTTCAGCATCTTCTGCTGAAGTTAGCTTTATGACAAAACTAATGAATCCAGGACAATATTTTTTTAGCTTTTAGTGCTGAAGTTTTTACAAATTAACTAAATAACTTCAGCATCTTCTGATGAAGTTTTTGAAAAAGCTTATCCAGTGCAAAAAAACTTCAACTTATTTAGTGCTGAAGTTTTTATAAATGAACTAAATAACTTCAGCATCTTCTGCTGAAGTTTTTGAAAAAGCTTAATGACAAAATCCAGGACAAAAAAACTTCAGCTTATTTAGTGGAATTACAAACAAAAACTTTAGCAAATAGAGAACAAAACTTCAGCTACTATGCTTAAGTTCAGCAATTACAAACAAAAACTTCAGCAAATAGAGAACAAAACTTCAGCTACTATGCTTAAGTTCAGCAATTACAAACAAAAACTTCAGCACACTTGGTTCAGCACACTTGCTGCCGTCTACTAGAATGCTGAAGTTTTGCGTGATTGCTTTTGCTACTTCAGCCCCGTATGCTGAATTTACGCGAAAAGTGGGTACGCTTGCAATTTTTTTTGCAAAGCGAGCACAAGTTAAAACGTGACCCAAAAAGCGGGTATAGATACAAATGCCCCAAAAATCCCTACTTTTTTCTTTTCTTTCTTCATTTTCTTACACAGAGCCCAGCCCAGAATAATGGGCCTCCCAAACCATTAACTCTATTTTTCGCAAAAGAGAAAATAAAAAAATCTCTTTCCTCTCTCCAAATTTCCCTCCAAATCCACAGCTCCTCTCTCTCTCTCTCTCTCTCTCTCTCTAATCTCTTCAACCCTACCCATACTCCATTGGAGATTAGTTCACAATTAACGCCTCCCAAAAGGAAAAAACGGGTAATTTTCTCTACTGATATTTTCAGAAAATCTTAACTTGGGTTTGCTGCTTTGTGATATGGTATTTATTTTGGGGGTTTCTGCTGTGCCTGTGTGTGTGTGTGCTGCTATTGTTTGAGATCTTGTTCTGATCGTTTGTAAGAACAAATCTTTTGCCTAGTCTTTAAACGTTTTTGGAGATTCTGTTTTATGAGAAATGAAATGGGCTTTGACAAGAATTTGGATGTATAAATTTGGTATTGGGCAATACTTCGTTAGAGTTCAGGCTTTAATTAGTAAAAAAATTTAGTTATTGCATTTTTCTCTATCTTGTTATTTTTAAGAATTAGCTCAAATTTATGATATTTTTCCTTCTGAGATTAATAGTGTGGTTAACTTTTGCTGGTTTTCTGATGTGACATAATCTGATTATCACAAGGTTTTAGGAAGTTAGTTTGAGTTGTGCTGTATTAGTAAGAGTAGTGAAATAAAATATTGAAGTTATCGTTATAACAATGTTGAAAAGAATGAATTTTTGAAAGAATTCAAAGTTTCGTACAAGAAGTTGCGGGAATTCCTAGGATGGAAAGTATCAAGTAAATTGTGACAGAAGGAATTATATACTTTAGCATAAAATAGAGAACTTCAAGTATAAGTTTCAGGGAATGTGTTTTAAGGATAAGAAGACTTTGTCAAAGTATACCGTTGCCTATGTGATAAGCTTAGGCCTCGTATCCTTGGAAACTTTAGAGGCTTATCCAGAGAAGCCATCAAAGTTTCAGCTGGAAATCTATGTTTTCCAGTCTTTTTTCATAAAACTATAAGATTTTTGTTTCTGAGTTGACTTGAATGTTTCATGTTCTTGTAGTTCATTATCCTCTCTTGTTTTTTCTTCTTTTAGATGCAACATGCATAATCATTTAGAGAAGGAGTCAGTTGGCCCTATTGTGTCATCTTAGCTCAGTTTCCTATTTTTATGGTGTTCAGCTTATTAAGTCTGCAAGCTTTTAATCTTATCTTTATGTGATCACATAGACGATAGAACTGATTCTTTATTTCGATCACTTTCTGAACAAGCTCAACCTTCAAAGTGTTCTTTTTCTTCGGGGTCTTCTACAGATGGGAGTTACTTTTTCTAAGTTGATTCTTCTGTAGACATTCTTTCAAAAGATGCCAATAAGTACCTTTTAAACATCATTGCAGAATGTTCTCATTCATTGATGATATTGATCTCATTCATTATATTCAGGGCTCATAAAAGCTGCACAATGTGAGTAGATAATCCTTGATGATATAGTTAGTCACTGGCCTTAATCTGGAAACAAGTTACAACCTTAAACAAAAATGAAGGTTGTCAAATTCAAATAAGAATCAATTTCTTGCTGTTCTCATATTTATCTGAACAGTATGCTTTTTAGTTACTTTATTACTTAAATTTACGCTACAGATGTTTTGTCGTGCAGGTAAAGTGTAGATACATGTTGTGGAAGCAAGGAAGTGAAACAGTCATTTGAGGTCTGTTGTCATCTGGGGTTTCGACCCTGATAACTATTATAGCACTGGACTGTTTGTGCTCCTATTTGTTTTATCAGAGTTTTCTTTGTATTGTTGCTCAAGAGATCCATTTTTTTGAGAACTTTATAGACAAGGGACCTAGAGTAGATCATCTTCCTTTTGTTTTTCTTTTGAAAACTTTCCTCTTTTTTTTCATTTGTTTTTACATTTTTTTGGGACGTCGGGGGTATTGTAAGGTTTCTATTAAAGTATGGACCTGAAGATAGAAATAGAAAAATCACAAACTTATGCTGAAGGAGGAGCAGAGGCAATACTAAATGTTCAACCCAATTCATCAATCTCTATTGCTTATCACAATCTATTTGGTCCGCACGATGATTTAATGCTTCTCGAGCTTGATGACAAACTCCTACCTGATATCCTCAATCAAAGGTGTGTTGTACCATTCTGTAAAGTTCTTCAATTTGCTATCTAAAGTTTTGAATTAAATTTATGCTTATTCTGTAGAGTAACATTAAGAGGGCAGCCAGATGAAGATGCAGTTCTCTGTAGCCAGTCAAAAACTTATGCCATTAAATTTGTCGGAACTTCTAATTCTGTATTTCTTATACCTCCTTCCGACCTACCAATCACACATGGAGATTCACCAAACTCAAGTGAAAAGCATCATGACAATTTGACAGTTGTTTCTGTCATCAAAGTAGTACCTGGCAGCATGGAACTTGTCGAGGTTGCTCCTAGATTGGACAAGCTCAAATTGCTTCTCTCAGAAAACCCTTATGGTTTTGATGAAGTGTCACAAATGGATACTGAATTTGCGCACAAGAACAGGGGCTTGTATACATGGAATGACCTTGTTGAAAAGGTGCAAGCCAGTGACGAGGAACTGCGCACAGGGTTGCGAGCTCTTTCAGCAGTAGAGATAGATGGATATTGGCGACTTTTAGATGAGAACTTTGTGGATGAGATTCTGAACATGCTTTTGCATGATGCAGTGCTGAATGACTGGCCTTTAAGTGCTCTAAATGAAGATGAAGTTTTGCGTGTGCTGGAAGCCGATGGATTCCCTCGGAAAATAGTAAGGCACTGTTTGGAAGTTTATGGAAGTAAGGTGGATGATGACACTAGAGGCGGCTGTACGTGGAGGTTGGAAGAGAGGCCAGTTTGTGTGCATTTCGCCAGAGTAATCTTAAGAGGGAAGAAAATGAAACTTGAAAGATTTATGGAGGAGTGGAGAAAGAAAGTTCCTGAAGGGATGAGTGCAAGTTTTGATGTGCTAGAAGGGGAAGTCTTAACAGAAAAGCTCGGGATCGAGACTCGGATTTATGCTTTTAGTGTTTCTTCACTCCCATCTATGCCTGCTGAACGGTTTTCCAAATTATTCCAGGAGAAGCCGAAGTGGGAATGGAAGGAACTGCAGCCATTTGTCAGGTTGGCTTTTACATTTCATTGCCTAATGATTTCAATTTTGTTTCTTTCATCTTACTTGATCCTTGAAATGATGTCATATGCTCCATTTCTGCTGTTATTATGTAATGTATAGGGATCTGAAGGTACCAGGACTTTCTCTAGAAGGTTTACTACTCAAGTACACTAGAAGAACTCAACCAAGCATGGATGCTGAACCAATTTTCAGTGCAAGATAATCTCAAAGCGCGCCACATTATTTCCCCATACATGTTCCACAATTGGGATGGTTTACTAGACTTGTGAAGAGGAAGATCATGTAATGTAAACTTGATTTTGGAATTTGCGAGCAAGTTTACTCTCTAGTTGCTTTGCCTCTGCAGTCGTCTTGAGATATGCAAGTCTCGGTTGTTTTAATGCACGTAGCAGCTCCTTATTCTGTTGTCCTTGTAACAGTAAGAACTGTACCAGGGAGAAGAAACTATTGAGTTGCATTTTGTGTTTTAGAGCTCATTCGTTTCTCAGTTCTAAGTAGCAGATCACTCACTGTCCATGCTAATTAACAATTCCCTTATGTAAAAATTTATAGCTCCAAAGTCCTAAACTTTGTCTAAAAATGTCAACTCTCCTTGCCCTCGAATGGTGACATTTACATGTTAATTGTCTTTTTCTGCTTGTGATAGTAGTCCAATGTCAAAGATTATTCCCTCGTCTTCCGCTTTAGACTATGATTTAAAAGTAAAAATCAAATATTGAAATAGAATTTATGTTTTGACTCTGATCAACAAATAAGCGGTTAGTTTCAAGGAAAAGGAATAAAGCTTATTACAACATAGTGCATTAGTATTTGACAAGAATGAGTAGTTATCGATATGGTTGACCACTCTCATTTGGATTTTCTTTTCAGTTTATTCTATTACAAGGGGAGAAACAGAAATGAGAAGAGTTAAAATGAATTGTGAGAATCAATTTTGACATCTTACTATGTAGAAAGATTTTTACCAGTACCACTAGACCAAAAAACTTTGATAGCCACTCTTGTTTGGACTAGAAATATTTTTGAAAGTTCTTGAAAAACTAAAATTGTACTCCGTGTTAATGAATATATTTTGTTTTTTTTTTCTAATTCAAAACAAAGTGTTTTTGGAAAAAATACAGAGGTAAGCTTTGGAAAAAAATATAACACTGATTTTCTCCGAAAATATTTTCGCAAAAGCCAGTTCAAACACATAAAATTCTTGTTTTAGCTCAAATGGTTTTCCAAAAATCTCTTAGTTAGGACTAAGAAAAAAGAAAACAATTCTCTGTTTAGAGCATAAACAAAAATTATAAATTGTGAATTAGCTTGGTTGGCCAAGCTTCTCCAAGTCAAAAACACTTCTTTTTTCTTCAAAAGATGTGCTTTGTTTTCAAAGTTGAGGTGTATGGGCAAGCTTTTGAAAGGAAAAAAATGCATTTGAGTAGAAGCAAAAACAGTTTTTGAGAAGTGGAAAAAAGTAGTTTTTCTCCAAAAGCACTTTTTGAAAAGCACTTTTAAGAAAAACATACTTAGACCTTATTTGGCCAAGCTTCTGAGAGGCCAAGTACTTTTTGGAAAATTTAAGGTGTTTGGCCAAAATAAAAAAAAAGATAGCACAAACAGTTTTTTTGCTTATGGTTGCTTATGGAGAGAAGTTACAAATTGTAGCTTCTTCCAAAAAGCAGAAGCAGAAGCAGAAGCAGAAGCAGAAGCAGAAAATTAATTTATTTAAGACAAAAATAACCTTACGATAAATTGATATTTTCCAAATCATCCCTCATTAATTTAAAATTTTCCTTTTCCTTTTTATTTTAATCATATTTTTATTCTCTTTCTCCTATTCCTAAGAGTAGATTTTTAATTTATATTTGAATGATGTATTTTGACATATTTAAATTATCTGTAAATAAGTAATACCAAACACTGATTGATATTGCTTTGAAATAACTAGATTTTATATTAATTAGAATTTTTACTTTTTATTTTATATTTAATTGAATTCTTTTCTAATAAATGTTTAAATTTATTTTTCTTTTCTAAATAATACTAATCGAAAATTGAATCTTATTTGTCCTTTTTTGTAATTTGATACTTAAAAGTGCTTTTTTAAAGATTGGCCAAACACAATGAGCTTGCGAAAAGCACTACTCAAACAAATTGACCAAACACAAACTGCTATTTTGCAAAAATATTTTTTCAAAAAGCACTTTTGAATAAAAGCGTTTTTCAAAATAAGTACAGAAAGAATATCAGCACCACTAGAAAATGGCACACCTTTCGCGTTTTTCCAGGATACCTGTTAAAAACATAAGTAATATTATTAAAAAAGTAAACAAAAGTATTTTCTTCTTGTTAGTATTTAAGCTTTTAGCTGTAATGGTCACACGCTTCAAACAGTACCTTATAAATAACTAATCGTGCAAGTGGTGCTCCTCCTCGTGTTGTCCCCATGTTAAGGCCATAGTATTCAAGATTGTTAACATAAGAACCAGCAGCTGTGTAGGCAACATGTGTACCATGTCCAGTGTTATCTAATGATGATAAATTATATAATTGCCTGACCATTGTCTCGTTTAGTTTCCTTCTTCCATCAATCCCTTTATGTCCANTTTCCAAATCATCCGTCATTAATTTAAAATTTTCCTTTTCCTTTTTATTTTAATCATATTTTTATTCTCTTTCTCCTATTCCTAAGAGTAGATTTTTAAATTTATATTTGAATGATGTATTTTGACATATTTTAAATTATACTAGTAAAATAAGTAATACCAAACACTGATTGATTATTGCTTTGAAAATAACTAGATTTTATATTAATTTAGAATTTTTACTTTTTATTTTATATTTAATTGAATTCTTTTCTAATAAATGTTTAAATTTATTTTTCTTTTCTAAATAATACTAATCGAAAATTGAATCTTATTTGTCCTTTTTTGTAATTTGATACTTAAAAGTGCTTTTTTAAAGATTGGCCAAACACAATGAGCTTGCGAAAAGCACTACTCAAACAAATTGACCAAACACAAACTGCTATTTTGCAAAAATATTTTTTCAAAAAGCACTTTTGAATAAAAGCGTTTTTCAAAATAAGTAGTTTTTGGCAGCTTGGCCAAACAAGCTCTTAGAAATACTTTATAAAAGCTTGACCAAATACTAATTGCTACTAAAAAGTACTTTTCAAATTAATTTAGCCAAACACAAACAGATTCTCACCAAAAGTACTTTAAAAAGCAATTTTAAAAGTAGCACTTTTCAAAAATAAGTTGATTTTAGAAGCTTGACCAAACAGAGTCTATTAGAGTATTTACTATTTGGGAAGAAAATGATTTTACCCGTTACACCTTAAATCCTTTAAAATTAAATACAATTAAAAAAACAAAAAAAAAAACTTTGTAATCAAATCCCAGGGCCCAACTACACTCCCTCCAAAGCGTCCCTCTTCTCTTTTGGCGGGAAAATCCCTCTCTCAGTTTCTAACATTTTTGCTCTCTTTCTTCGATCTTCTCCGTTGACCCAAAACCCTAGTTAGTGTCATCTGTATTCTGTAATAGCACAACTCAGCTCAATCGAAACATAAAATGGCTCCAAAGAAAAGAACAAGTTCAGGATCAACGAAGAAATCAAGCAATCAAAACCAGAACCTTCAGCAACAGCAGCAATCTCAGGCGTCCAAATTCGGGATTCAGCATTTCTTTGAACGCCACACCCAAAATGTCCTCTCGCAGAAATCCAAACCCCTCCTCGTTCCCCACAACTCCAATTCCAACTCATTTCAAAACCCTAAAGAAAATTCCAGTGTCTCAGTGCCAGAAACTTCTAGAAATAATGGATTGAATTTGAAGAAGTGTGACAAGGATAATTCGGTGTCTCGAGATAAAGGTTATAAAAATGTCAATAAATCGGATCATATTGATGTAACAGAGAGATTTAAGGACAAGGGAGTTGGGGATGGTAAATATAAGGAAAAAAGAGTTACTTTGAAAATGAATGAATCGGGTGGTCCGTCTCAGAGTACACCTACGGAGAGTGTGGTAACTGCAGGTTCAGGGGAGGAGAAAAATCAAGCAGAAATAACGCCTGAGTTTTGCAAGTCCGTGTCTGTGAAGCGCTTCAAGTTTTCTCCAGGAATGGTAATTATCTTTATTTTCTGATGGTTGGTTTCTAGTTATTGTTGTTGTTGTTTATTTATTTACCTTTTTATTGGTGAGTAACATCATCAGTGAGGATTCATATAGCCAACACTAGCTTGTTTGGGATTGAGGCGCATTAATTGTTAGTTGCATCAGTGAAATTTACTTGGATGGAGCTAATTTTCAACGCGTGTATATGAATGAAGGGTCTTCTTGTTTACTTATTAATTACAAGATTGCAACTTTTTAGGCTCATTCTACAAGAAATCGTGCTATGAGGGATCAGGGCTAGGGTAGGAGGAAATTACTGAGTAAACTCATTGACGTAACATCATGCAAAAGACTTTTAAGCAACCCAGTTCTCTGGGTCACTGAAGTTAAAGTTGCATTTGTCAATAGTATGCGATATTCATAGAAGGCAAATTCTTGTGCGACTTCTGTTTGAAGCCGGTAAGGCGGACACTATGTCCACTAGGTTATTCCTGGACCAGGAAGCTTAGTCAAACCAAAACAGTAGCAAGTCTAATCTGAGTCCATTATGGGGAGAAAGTAGCAGGAAGAATTTCTAGCAGATGGTACACCATTCACGTAAAATTAGGACACTTAAGAACCAGGAAAGTTAAAGACTTGGTGCTAATCCTGACAATCAGAAAGTAGAAGATAAACTAAGAGAAGTATTCTCTGCCTGCTCAATGCTACAGAACTTAGGTTGTTGAAGGGATACTTTTGCTTATGGGAGCTGTTTTTGGTCGAGGTTAATCTCATACTGGAGAGCTGGGAGTTTGGGGTCCTAACCTTAGAGACCTGTCTAAACTTCGTATAGACATTGCATGGCTGTCCAGCTTTTAGAATTTTGAAGACATGTTGGTGGTCTTCTTTGACCCCAGCAAACTCTTCTATCTTGCAAGGAGGATTTTGAATCCATCAGTCTAATAAACTTGACACACATTTTAGTCTATAGTTTTAAATGCTTAGACTGTTGCATTCATGGTTAAGAAAGCATGAAAAAGAATTAAATCTAACTGATTCATAAGTTGTACAAGTTTGCTTGTCAGTTGCATATGATCTAATATATATGCTGTTGTTTGTTAGCTGATCAAGCAAAGTCAGGATGATGGAGGTGATGAAGTAACATGGAGAATATCTCCAGTGAATGAACGACTTCATGCCGTGTCCAAACAATTACCAGAGATGGTAAAGGTGTTGGCGGATTCATCACGCTTCAACTCCTTAAGTATTCAAGAATGTTCGCTGAAAAAGGTACATAAACATAATGTACAATTATGCTGTGCCATGTTTTGTTATAGATCATTGTAATACTATAAGACTAATGATTACTACAGACGTCTCCTGGGACAGAAAGAAAGTTTGAGAAGCGGCTTTGTTCACCTCCACTGAAGGCGCTTGATAAATCATTAGTAAGCTCAAATAGGGCTAGCTTGAGAAACAGAAACACCGATCATGTAATGGATCTGTGGGAAACCAATGGAAACTTAAACTGCCAGAGCAAAACTGAAGTAACTAACAGTCAGAGTCCTTTTCAGACTCCACCATCTTTGACATACGGTAGTGATAAGGTAGTATCTGCATCGTCATACTAGTAAACATCTGTCACGTTTCATGTAGAAATGTTTCTGATGATTTCCGGCAATTAATGCAGCCTGCCAATGCGGTCAATAATAATGAAGTCACTGATCAGCTTGGTTCAAGGCAACACAAAAAGGTCTTTGACTGCTCTGGCATTTTCAGCTAATGTAATTATTTTGCTGTTAGTCATTTCTGACCCCATTTGTGCAGAAGATGTAACTTGTCGTACTTCGACAGTCCCCGTGCTTTATAGGTTTTATATCCTGTTTCAGGCATTGATTGAGCTTTTAGACCAAGTAGAAGATGTAATTTCGGTTGAACCAAAATCTAAGGAGAAAGTTGCCCATAGTCATGATGAACCAGCTAAGCCAGCTTCCATTGTGCTAGAAGATGTAATTTCTGTTGTACCAAAATATGAGGAGAAAGTTGCATCCCATAGTCATGAAGAGCCAGCTTCCATTGTGCTAGAAGATGTCATTAATGTTGAACCAAAATGCGAGGAGAAAGTTGCATCCCGTAGTCATGATGAACCAGCTAAGCCAGCTGCCATTTTGCAGAAATCAGCAGAATTTTTTTGTGCACGTGACCAAAGGAAAGAGTCAACTATCTATTTTCTTGTATTGGAGGTATGTTGGAACTTCTCCTATTTAAATAGATCCTTTATGTGAATTATGGATCGATGTACTTCAAAACTTATGTTACTACAGGTTTCTGAGAAGCATGGACAAGTTGAAACATCTAGACAGCAGTACTCCTTCAAGGTTTGTGCCAAAGCCCCTTGCTAAAACCTTTCTGAGTTCTCACTTCTCAATAACCAAAGTGATGTACGGACACCTGACGATGACTTTCAGGTTTTGCGCATACTGAATGAACAAAGTGGAGAAGAGCGGGTTTTGCAATTGAGGGATGAGTGGTAATGAGTTGAATCTCTGTTATTTCATCTATTATCAATCTGCTGAATATACTTAAAAACACAGATTCACAATCAAGCTATTTCGTTAAAGAGGACCAATACTCTCGAATAGTTTCCTCTATTTCTGTTATAGTAGAATGTAGACAACATGGGGGATGGACTTTCCTGTTCACAATGACTTGTTACTCGAACATGAATACTTTTGCTACTCTTACATCATCTTCCCAACCGACGGTTCAGTTGTGATGATATTTAGTCATGCAGAACAACAATCTCAATGTGCATTTTGTTACTTATATCTAATATTTGCTTCTTTGGATCTGTCATGGACCCAATGAGATTATCATGTGAACTAAACAAACAGAGATTACAGTGACACTGCCACTCGGATGACCTTTCAAAAACTAGTTTTGTCCCCCTTCCTCTTGCATCATGTCTTTTGACGTTGAGGTAGCTTTTATGTCTTTCTTGTCTTTGCATTTGAGTTTACAAAGGCATCTTTATCCTAAATTCTAAAGCAGACAACGTTTTAGTCCCAGCCGCTTTTCTGCATTGCTTCATTTGATCAAAATACCTTCCAGTTGTGAGAAACTATAATTCATCATCTGTATGAACCTTCTGTGGAAGAGACCAGAGATCGTCTCTTGTTAAGCTTTGTAATTCTAATTGTTGACAGACAATTATGATGAGGAACTTACTTGCTTTCCAGGTGCTATAGTGTTGTTGCACCAGGAGATACTATTCATGTCATTGGTGAGTTTGACAGCGAAGGAAAATGTGAAATAAACCGCGAGAAGAATTTTCTCATTGTTCATCCAGATATTTTAGTCTCTGGAACAAGGGTATGTCTGTGCAATTATTTTTCAGTTGTTTGTTTCGATTACTCAACATGTTGTCTTTCACTGTTCCAGCTTCTGCAAAGTCTTGCTTCCGTCAGTTGTTTCTTCTTCTTTCTCCATTGTTCTTGAACATTGAGTACTCTGTTAGGTTGCTTCCAGTTTCAGTTGCTAAGGCGAGCTGTGCTGGATGAGAGGTTAAAATCTGGCGAGTATTCAGCTGCAGCATTGATTGGCACATTATTGCATCAGATGTTTCAGGTTTTATGAAAGAAAATTTCTTGCTTTCTATGGCCATAGGCACATTTCCTATCATAGCTTAAATTTTCACTGCTATGCATGTACTATAAACTATGCCATTGAAAGTGACTGACGCTTTTGCCAGGCTGGACTGATCAGAGAGNCGTGCTATGAGGGATCAGGGCTAGGGTAGGAGGAAATTACTGAGTAAACTCATTGACGTAACATCATGCAAAAGACTTTTAAGCAACCCAGTTCTCTGGGTCACTGAAGTTAAAGTTGCATTTGTCAATAGTATGCGATATTCATAGAAGGCAAATTCTTGTGCGACTTCTGTTTGAAGCCGGTAAGGCGGACACTATGTCCACTAGGTTATTCCTGGACCAGGAAGCTTAGTCAAACCAAAACAGTAGCAAGTCTAATCTGAGTCCATTATGGGGAGAAAGTAGCAGGAAGAATTTCTAGCAGATGGTACACCATTCACGTAAAATTAGGACACTTAAGAACCAGGAAAGTTAAAGACTTGGTGCTAATCCTGACAATCAGAAAGTAGAAGATAAACTAAGAGAAGTATTCTCTGCCTGCTCAATGCTACAGAACTTAGGTTGTTGAAGGGATACTTTTGCTTATGGGAGCTGTTTTTGGTCGAGGTTAATCTCATACTGGAGAGCTGGGAGTTTGGGGTCCTAACCTTAGAGACCTGTCTAAACTTCGTATAGACATTGCATGGCTGTCCAGGTACATCTTCCCAAAGTGACGATGGCTTAGTCAGTATTTTTAATTTGGCCTTTGAGGCAGGCGGACATTCGCCGCTTGCTCTATATATAGGTTTGTCTTCCCTCCTTTGAAGATTCCGCTATTTTGAGTAGCTATCCTCCTTCATTGAGCTCTTCTTCCTTGTGTTAGGTNGTATGAACCTTCTGTGGAAGAGACCAGAGATCGTCTCTTGTTAAGCTTTGTAATTCTAATTGTTGACAGACAATTATGATGAGGAACTTACTTGCTTTCCAGGTGCTATAGTGTTGTTGCACCAGGAGATACTATTCATGTCATTGGTGAGTTTGACAGCGAAGGAAAATGTGAAATAAACCGCGAGAAGAATTTTCTCATTGTTCATCCAGATATTTTAGTCTCTGGAACAAGGGTATGTCTGTGCAATTATTTTTCAGTTATTTGTTTCGATTACTCAACATGTTGACTGTTCCAGCTTCTGCAAAGTCTTGCTTCCATCAGTTGTTTCTTCTTCTTTCTCCATTGTTCTTGAACATTGAGTACTCTGTTAGGTTGCTTCCAGTTTCAGTTGCTCAAGGCGAGCTGTGCTGGATGAGAGGTTAAAATCTGGCGAGTATTCAGCTGCAGCATTGATTGGCACATTATTGCATCAGATGTTTCAGGTTTTATGAATGAAAATTTCTTGCTTTCTATGGCCATAGGCACATTTCCTATCATAGCTTAAATTTTCACTGCTATGCATGTACTATAAACTATGCCACTGAAAGTGACTGACGCTTTTGCCAGGCTGGGCTGATCAGAGAGTCCCCTACACAAGAATTCTTGGAGGATTATGCAAGGATAGTGCTCCAGAAAAGTCTTGAGAGCCTATATGCATGTGGAGGTGAAAAACTTAAGTTTCTCCCAATTGCTACTTTGTGAAGTCGTAATTATTACGTTGGCATCTGGGAACATGCTTTCTTTAAAGTCCTGGAAAGATGATTCTCAACGACAAGTCTACAGTAAAGCACTTAAACTGTCCATTCCTATCAATGCTGAAACTTCTCAAACTTGTGGTAATTGCAGTTGATGAAAATGATACTCACAAGACATTGATTGAGGCAATTCCAAAACTGCTGAATTGGATACGTTCCTTCCAATATTCAGAGGTAAATGGCTACATATTTTGTTAAGCTTGAATTGTTGTTAAACACTATCTTGAGGCCATTAGTAACTAAGCTGGAAAGGTGGGGTTGTGATTTTGAAACTATAGAATGGTGTCAACTCCTTGTTAGACGTAGATTAAATTAGGCTACTTTGTTCAACAAAGCATGCAGCCCTATCAAGAACATGTCTTTTTTTTTCTTTCAGAAAGGTGATGGTTTACGGATTGTTTACAATTTTTGTGCTAACACTTGTAAAACCCAAATGAAACAATTGAAAAATAAAAAGAATATGGTACCTAAAGAAAGCATAGTTAGAGCCATCTCCAAAGTACTTTGTTCCAAATTCTTTGTACATAGATAGGCTAGTCCTCCTCTTAGTCACATCAACCTAAATGTGTGATGGATACAGGTGTGATTTTATGGGTGTGGATCTAGAAGTATGATATGTCATCACCTAAATCTTAGGATTGGGAAATTAGGAAAGGTGGTCAGGTACGGGTGCTGAGATACCACTAATAAATGTATAGTATAACATATATATTTGTATGACTAATTCATTTGAAAGATCATCCGACAAAAACAAATACAAATAAATTGCTTTAAATATCTAAGCTTTTATTCCATAAGTATATCACATACAATTTCCTTATCAAAAAAAAATTCCATAAGTATATCACATACAATTAAATTTTTCAGAATACTTTATCTGAATACTTATGTAAAACCCAAAATTTGAAACCTAAAACACAGCCAACCTATGCTTCTCGGCCATAGTTGTAGCCAATGCAGCCTAGGTGAATTAACCAAGTGCGGTGGTATCTCACACCCATGCCCTTATCAATTTGGATCGACTTTGGTGCAGTGTTTTTTTTGAAGGATCCATGTAAAATAGGCAACACTTGTCCTTTTGCCATGTCCTTTACTATTTTCTACTTCGTTGGTGGCTAGTTCTTTGTGTTTGATTCTCAGTACATCTTGATTATAATTTGTGCCTGTTCTCGCATTTGTTCCCACATTGATATAGTTTCTCTCCTTGTTTACCTAACATATTTATGAGCTTAACTTATGTTAGGTTTCAGAAGGCCCAAGTATTGATTTTGGAAGTGAAGATGGAGTTAAGAAGATTAAAGTATCTGAAGTAAGGAATCTCCTTCTATCTTTCTTGGTAATGCAGGCTTGAGTTAAAACTTGCAATCTATATCTCTTAAGGCTATCCATCTTGAATAATTTACTAATCTTGTGTTAGTTCTCAGAAGCATATGTTGCAAATATTTCTGATATACAAAGCATTAACCACATCAGGATGATCATTAGGAATGGTTCATTCCAATTTAACACATTTATCTCTAACATTAGTGTCTTTTTGTATTTATGATTTGTGATGAACAAAATAAGAAATAATCGACAAGCTTTCCACACAGCAACCTCAAATTGAAATTTAATTCACACTCTATCTACTATACTGTAGTGTCGCAACTGGAATATGAAAGTACATGTAAATTGTCCTCCTAAAGTATAACGTTAAGATTTTAAAAAAAGAAAAGGTTCATTATTAATTGATGAGTTATGGGACATCAGATATAAATTGTGTTTGTAAAGTTTATGGTAGCGAGATTGTTAGAGGATGTCTAGTAATGAGCAACCAATGGAACATGTTAATCTAACATTTAACTAATATTACATTCCCCAAGTGGTTTACAGGATTTGTGCTTCAGTTCAGTTAGCTATATGCACTTGGGATTGCTTTCTTTAACCAAGATTATGCCTGATTTATTAGTTTTGACCGGATATTGAGCAGTTTTTTTCTGAAGGACATTATTTGTCTTAAAGGAGAATAAACTGCAACATGATGCAAAACTACTGGTGCTTTGTAGCATTATCTACATGACAAACCCTTCTTTTCTGGATAACAAAGGAGAAACATTACTTGCATGTCAAGAACATATGTTCACCTATAATTGTTTTGAAAATGCATATAACATGGTTCACCCTGTCCAGTCTGTCTTTCCTCCCTGAGTTTATATTCTTTTCATTTTGGATGTCCTTAAATATAGGTACTTGATATTGAAGAAATGGCATGGGCCCCAAAATATGGGTTGAAAGGCATGATTGATGCATCCTTGCGAGTAAATGTAAAATTCAACACCTGTAAACATAATGAGATGATTATGCCTCTCGAATTTAAAACTGGGAAGGCAACAAATGGACAGGCAAGTTTTTTTGAGCATTTGCAAAATAGTACCACTTAGTTGTGAAGTGATGATAATTTCCACTTTACACGTTCTTGCTAGGCACCTAACCTCTAGGCTATTGTTGGCATTACATTCTGCAGACAGCTATGGAACATAATGCTCAAGTGATGCTGTATACCCTTCTAATGTCAGAAAGGTGCACCGAACCCTGCCTATTTGCATAACTATTCACCTACTGTTGGCATATGCTGTACTGCCATGTAGATTTTCCTTTAGTTCTTCTTCATAGATTCATCTCGTTGCCATCTATTTTTCTCCTAATTAGATACTCGCAGCATATTGGACATGGTCTCCTGTATTATCTGCACACTGATCAGACGCAGGTAAAATCAAGCATTTGATTTTGAGAAGTAGGTGAAAACTAGCATCTGTAAGAATTATAAAGATTGCTTTTCTTTCTTCTTTTTTTTTTGCAACCTTCTAAATTACACTCATTTTTCAAGGGAATTACTGTTCGAAGATCTGACTTGGTTGGCCTAATAATGTGCCGTAATGAACTTGCAAATGATCTTCTCAAGACCACTATAACTCAACAACTGCCACCAATGTTACAGGTAAGGTATCTCCGTCTCATCCTGTTATACTTGGGTTAAATACAGATAGTGTTTGCTAGAACTGAATGTTTTGCATTAGTACTGTCTAGTCATTGAATATGTGGCTGATCAGTTTCCACATAATGGCGTGTTGTCCACTAAGCATTCAAGGTTGCACCGCATTTCCTTGTATCCTTCTATTATTTTCTGTTCGTGCACAGTCCTGTAAATTTATAGAAATTGTTAAGGTTAGAAGGCTCTTAATTGTATTCTGTAACCTGTTCTCTCTGGTACCACATAAAAATCTCTACTGAAATATATCCTCCCCCTCCCCTTGGTTTGGTTGTCTTCATAAAGGTGAATGTTTTGCCCGCTAAGGGTAGTTCATTCCGAATACACCTTCATAATTAGTATTGAATACTAGTTCTTCCTGTAGAGACCTAAGCATGGTTGTCATCTTCCACCACTATCCCAGGCCACAATCATTTATCGCCTTAATTATAAGTAAACACCATAAAAGGGATCAGAAAACTGAATTAGCTTATTACCTGACCAAGAGGAACTCATTTAACAAAATCTTCTAGATATTAGTAACTTATTATTCTGGTGACTTCTTTCTTTTGATGCAGAGTCCAAATATGTGCAGAGGCTGTCGACACCTCAATGTCTGTACCGTTTATCATAAGGTAATTTGAGAAGTTCTCAGGGTCTTCATAGTGACAAGCATCCATTGTACTCTTTTACGTATATAGATTTTCAAAATAATTGGTTAAAGGGGCTTCCATGTTTACTCAGTTCAATCCTAAAACATTTTAGCATCTTTACCTCTGCTCCATGCTAAGAAAATGTTCTCCTTTCAAAATGATCGAGATTCTGTGAAACACAGATGATAAACCATCTATAGAAGAAAGGAAGGAAGCTTAGTTGTTGAAGTCAGTAACTAAATCCTTTGGTTGGCGAATGTGCATGTGATAAATATACAGAGGTATCTTCATCAAAATAAATATACAGAGGTAATATGCTTACACGCACTGTAGTTCTCTTCTCCTAGTAAAACCTGTTCATGTGGTAACAGTAACATAGGTGCTTGCTGATAGAAGAAGGGGTAATTAACAATCAAGAGAAAGTTATTGCCTCAAATGCCATGTTTAGAATACTAGTATTAGGCCTGATTCCTGAAATATATCAAAAGACTGTAAACTTTGACATTTATGCTACAACTAGTACTTATTTGGAACCTGAATTGAGGTAAAAGATTGCATTTATAACATCTGTGTTAGAATTCTAATTATGTCAGGTCTTAGTTTTCTTGACAAAGGTGCCAAAACTTGGTGCGCGCCTAAGAAGCTAGACATGTAATCAAGGCAATCTAACTGCATTTCTGAATACGAATCAATTTGCCTAACGATGAGGAGTCAGCATTTTGCAGTGTGCAATGTGGAAAGGACTAAAGGAACATATTTGCAATCGAGCAGAAATTGCTTCCTTTTTTGTTACCAAATGGGTAGAATAATGGGGATGATAAATCAACATGCATGTTTTCCATATGAGCCTAATCAATGTTGACATGAAAATCAGCCATCTTTTCTTGGTGTATGCCCAAATACTTATTCTCATCTTAGTTGTGCTTATACATCATATTATGGGTAACATCAATATTCAATATTATTGGGACTTTGTTGAAATTAAAAACTTATACTACTGGATCCTGAAAATTTTCATAGGCATATGGTGGCACCACAGAAGGTAGCGGTTTGGGCGGAGTGTTTGATTCACTTGTTAGCCATCTAACAAATGCACATACTAATTTTCTTCAAAAATGGGATCAGTTGATTGACTTGGAGGCTAAAGAAGTTGAGGTACAATACATTGTTGACTGTAAATTAAGAAATCACTTCATGGCAATTGAATATCTCTTTACTTGTTAATTTTTTTTTCAGGTTGCAAAGAAAGAAATTTGGTGTTCACAAAGTTCAAAGAATGACCTTTACGCTCCTTATTTATCTTCTCTTGTCCTTGATACATCAGAACGAACCACACCAACAAACTTTTGCAAAGGAAATCAATTTACTTATCACTTTGTACATCGAGATTGGACTTCCTTGGGCACTCATCAACAGGATGGAGATGCTCTTAATAGTTATAATTTTCCTATGAAAAAGTTTGAATCCTCACTTAGGAATGGGGATTATGTGGTATTCTTCTTTCTCATGTTCTTTCTGTTTTATGCACTCCTGAATGTTCTATTTTCACAGCAATCAGCTGAAGCAAGAATTACTTGTCCATAGTTGTAACATCATCTGTTTGCCTCCAAGAGAAAAGTAGTGAGACGGAGCAGTTATATGCATCTATAGCAAACTGCATGATTTCCCTGTGAAATATATTAATCGGATGGCTTGAACTAATGGTTCAATTAGTTATTTTGGTGAAGTTATGAAGCTTCTTAGAATTCAATGAATCAACTATGCCTTGATCCTGAATTAGTTGTGGTCAGCTACAGTAATCCTCTTATTCATTCCACTCTATCAGGGGGCACATGCCTTGATGGCTCTGGGATCATCCCACAAATTTAGTAATTCTCTACTAGCGTCAAACCCTCGGGCTTTACTTGGGTTGGGACCGCTAAGCTTCGTGAAGGTCATAGAGGAAAGGGAGTTCTCACTATTCAATAACAAAAAAACAGAATAATAGTCAATATTTTCTTAAAAAATGGAGTAATTTCTGATTTAGTTGGGGGCTTGGGGCCATGGCTTATGTTTGTATAAGTTGCCTGCAAATAGAGTAATTTCTAGTTTTGTTGAGCCTCTCATTAGCTGAACTTTTTGTTTCGTTCCTGCACTTTCAGCTCACCGTAGTGTATGAGTTGTGATTGTTTGAATTGAAAGTGCTGTCTTATAAGCGCTCTATGTTTGGTTCTATTCATGGTCATGGTCAATTGACGGTATGACAAATATAAATTTTAAACTTTTCAGATATTGAGCACTGAACCTGGTGGTATACTAATAGCTACTGGAGTTGTTGTAGATATGAGTTGCTCTCGCATCTCGGTGAGTATTAGATCTTTATTTGATATTAATTCTTAAATGCAAGGAGCTATTACTTTATAGTGTTTGTCATTGCTGCAAAAAGCCTAGAATGCGCGGATATAACTTATTTTCAGTTCGTTCTTTTCATTCTCCTTAGATGGAGCAACCCGAACATTTCAAATAATCTCATTTGTTCCAATGAAAAGTAGGAAACTTATATTTCTCATTTGCCAGTTATCTTCATTAATGCTGTTAGATCTCACTTTGGTCCCTTTCAACAGCTGAAAAGCTTTTGCCTTCTTTAATAAATAAGGTAACTCCAAACTATACAAGGAGATGATTAAGAATGAAATAGTTTGATTTGTTGAGACAAAACAGAACAAAAAAGTTAGAGCCCTGACCATTAACAAAACTAAAGCTTCACATGGCTCTTCCTTTTTATCCCACTTTCAAAAGAAAAACTACTTCAGGACCTGGAAAGCTTTTTCCAAAATGAAAATTAAAGAAGTCCATATACGGAAGTCTTCTAAACCAGTGTTCGTCTTAAGAAATAATTACAACTAAAGCATACTAGTGTTTAGCTTACTCTATTTTGTTAGGGCTAAAGCATTCTTTTGTTAATATATCTATATCTATACAAGATTTCCTTACGACCTAACCTGTCTATCTTATCATAGTATTGTTTTCAAGTAGTAAAGGTCCATTGTCACTCATTCTGAAGTGAGTCAGGCTACATTCCCTTGTGTGAGAATGCACGGGAGAAAATATATTATTGATGTATTGACATATGTTACAATGAGCCCTATATATATACACACACATAACATGTCCTACTCCTAATATATATTGGATTAGGGTTATTTATTTACTCCTATTTACATGACTATTCTAACACTCCCCCTCAAGCTGGTGCATATAAATCATATGTACCGAGCTTGTTACATATGTAGTTAATACGAGGACCAGTGAGGGACTTGGTGAAAATATCTGCAAGCTGATCATTCGACTTCACAAACTTTGTAGCAATATCTCCCGAGAGTATCTTTTCTCTAACAAAGTGACAGTCAATCTCAATGTGTTTAGTTCTCTCATGGAACACTGGATTTGACGCAATATGAAGAGCAGCTTGATTATCACACACAAGTTCCATCTGACTAATCTCACCAAATTTCAACTCCTTGAGCAACTGTTTGATCCAAATTAGCTCACATGTCGCCATAGCCATCGCTCGATATTCTGCTTCTGCACTAGACCGAGCAACCACATTCTGTTTCTTGCTCTTCCAGGACACCAAATTTCCTCCTACCAAGACACAATATCCAGACGTAGAACGTCTATCAGAAGGTGATCCTGCCCAATCAGCATCTGAGTATCCAACGATCTGCNNATGGAGCTAACCCGAACTTTTCAAATAATCTCATTGTTCCATTGAAAAGTAGGAAACTTATATTTCTCATTTGCCAATTTATCTTCATTAATGCTGTTAGATGTCACTTTTGTCCCTTTCAACAGCTGAAAAACTTTTGCCTTTCTTTAATAAATAAGGTAGCTCCAAACTATACAAGGAGATGGTTAAGAATGAAATAGTTTGATTTGTTGAGACAAAACATAACAGAAAAGTTAGAGCCCTGACCATTAACAAAACTAAAGCTTCACATGGCTCTTCCTTTTTATCCCACTTTCAAAAGAAAAACTACTTCAGGACCTGGAAAGCTTTTTCCAAAATGAAAATTAAGGAAGTCCATATACGGAAGTCTTCTAAACCAGTGTTCGTCTTAAGAAATAATTACAACTAAAGCATACTAGTGTTTAGCTTACTGTATTTTGTTAGGGCTAAAGCATTCTTTTGTTAATATATCTATATCTATACAAGATTTCCCTACGACCTAGCCTGTCTATCTTATCATAGTATTGTTTTCAAGTAGTAAAGGTCCATTGTCACTCATTCTGAAGTGAGCCAGACTACATTCCCTTGTATGTCTTTGATTTAAGAAATAAAATATTTGTGGATTTGTCATAATCCTTTATGATAATTCTGGCACTAATTAACAAGTTTGGAATATAAAATGCCCTGGGTACTCCTTTAGATTTTGGGTCCGATAATATGTAAAAGGAAAAAAGCATGCGCAGATTTTAACTTGCAATATTTGCTTTCATAATTCAGGTATCTCTTTCCAAACGCTTAAGGCTTCCAGGTAGCAGCCGGACTTCACAGGCACAAGATCTTCATCAGCAGTTGTGGCGAATTCATAAAGATGAATTTATGGGTTCGATTGCAATTATGAGGTATTCAAATTTTTTCATGTGTTATTATCTCCATCTGAAGTACATATCTTTGTCCAAGCGTAATTTACTCCTGCTTTGGTTTTGAAGATACAACCTCATACAACTATTTCTGCAAAATGAGCAGAGTTCTCATCTGAGGAAGATGATAGTTGATCTGGAGGTGAATGCTCTACTTAAGTATGAAATTTGATTTGCAGCTCCTCAGCCACAGCCCTCTTTAATGAATGAGAAGAAAATCTTACCTTTGAAATTCTGCAGGTGCCTAGGTTTGATAGTGGATGTCAATTTAGTCAAGACCCTGCCATCTCATACATTTGGTCAGAGAAAAACTTGAATGACGATCAGCGCCGAGCCATACTTAAGGTGAAAAGTTATAGAAACTCTCTATAATTGGGTTTATATCTGACACCTGACAAATCAAAAGTATTGTGTATATACAGAATCTTAATTGGATAAACCAGATACAAAGCAAAATTTACAGCATTCGAGTTGTCAGGACCCTCAACCATATCAAACTGTCAGAATTGTATTGTGAATTATCAGAACAGCGTCATATATAATTGTCATTAATGCAGATACTTACGGCAAAGGATTATGCGCTGATACTAGGAATGCCAGGGACAGGCAAAACATCCACTATGGTCTATGCTGTGAAGGCGCTGTTGATGAGAGGTTCATCCATTTTGCTTACCTCCTATACAATCTCAGCTGTTGATAATCTGCTTCTCAAACTGAAGGCTCAGGTCTCCATCCTTGATGCTTCTATTAGAAACTTATTGCTTTAATCTTTATTTAACTACTACGCTGTATCTCAAAAATTTAGAAGGTATAAGCTGTAGAACTGGTGTCAACATAGTATAAAATTCTTGCTTTAAATTATCTTGGGAAAGCTAGATTTAGCAAACTGAAGAAATCTATGAGCCCGTTTGGATTGGCTTAAAAAAAGTAGCTTTTAAGCACAAGTGCTTAAAAGCACTTTTTAAGTGCTGGAGTTGGTTTTATAAATAAGCAGTTATGCGTTTGGTAAACAAGTGCGGGTAAGCACTTTTTCTTTTAAAATGACTGAAATATCCTTAAAGCTGTTAACATTATAAAGAAGCTCATTACTATAATATTTTATTTCAAACTTATAAATATAAATACGAAATAATTAATATTTGAACTGATCACCTAAGATAATTTTTATATATATAATTGTTGAACTCTTATTTTTCACTTCTTTCAACCATGTAAATTTTTTATTTATTTCTTGAAATTCCAAGCTTACTGGGAAAACATATGAAACGACTATCACATTTTATTATTCTATTCCTTATTTGAACTATGTAAAAATTCCTAATATTTAGGAAATCAAAATAAAATAAACTTGTACTTTTTAAAATTATTTGAAAATTGTACGTATAGTTAATTAGAAATTACAATGCAACTAGAATTGTTGGTCGCACACGAGTTTAAATTCTTAGAAAAAAAAAAAATCAAACACAAGTACAATACTACAATCTATGTAAGAGATTTTAAAGTTAAGTATGTTTAGCAAGCTTCGTCTGTTATGACTTCGCATGTATATCAGTTTTATTAATTTATAAAGATTTACAGATGATTATTATATAAATAAATGTTTAATCATTTTTATACTAATATTTAGGACTATTTTGCCTTCCTTTTAGGTTTAGGAGTCCTATTTCCTATCTCATGTTTTAATTATTTAGTAAGAAAACTTCATTAGGTAAATGTCGTATTCACCTTTCAAAGCAAAGCTAAACTTCAAAGTTCACATTCTGACAAATTTTAAAAGTTTGAGTTGGATATTATAATTATTTCAAAAGTTTGTGAAGGACATTTTTGGAATACTAAATAATATTAGGGACAAGAGGGTAAAATACTTGGTCAAAGATAGTTGGCTTTTAAGCTGGAAAAAAAAAGTTGGGATCAGCCAAGTTGTGGCTTTTGGCTTTTTTTAAGCTAGTTTTAACTTTTTTTAAGCTGTTTTCTTTTTTGCCAAACACTCCCAACATCTAAAAATGGCTTAAATGCTGGTTTTACCAGCTTTTAAGCCAATCCAAACAGGCTCTATATTTGGTACAAGGTAGGCATAGGAGTTGATGTGTAGCATTAGATGAAACTGGTTGATTTAAGAAGGGCCTACTATGGCAACTACACTAGCTGCTTCTACTGGTATTAGTATTACATCATTATTTCCTCTTTATCCTTCTATCATTTAGAAGCATACACCTCACATTTTACTACCTCAAATAACCTGAAATAAATTCTAGCATAAAGCTGCTTGGTGGTAACTCCATCTAATAAAATCCTTTTTGAATCACCAAATTGTCGCATTCATTGAAATCACTTCCTCCACTTGTGAGAATTTGATGCATATGCAATGTGGTCAGTGAATGGGCATTAAGGAGTCTCCAGCTGTCATTTGAAGCTCTGCTGGAAGTATGTGTGTTCTCTCAGGGAGTAAGGGGTTGAAGGAGCCATCAAGGAATTGGATATCCCTTTAGAAAAGGCTGGAAGACCCTTTTAGATGCGAAATTCTTTGTTTTTTTCTCACATGCTTCCCGTTGGTCAATGACCAACCAAGGTGCTCTATACTTCTTCACTACTTGTAAGGCGTGATGTATGATTCATTGACTTTTAATTTAATAAAAGAAGACATTCAAAATGCGAATGTCTAGCTATTTAATGGATAAGTGAATAGATTATAATTGTTCAGCTAAACTCAGTTCATTCTTGTAGAAAGAACAACTCAAACTTAGGCATTCAACTGTTAGATATAAACCCTAAACCTATATTTTTAAAATACATAATTTGTCACGCCCCGAACCTGGGCCTGGACGTAACACGACACTCGGTGCCTGACTACATGTGACCGAGCGAACCAACTGGCTGACTGAATCAACATGTGGTATCATAACATACTGAATGCGGAAGCTAAACTAACACATGCTGATATACTAAAAGTCTGGATGATATAAATCATAGTGCAGAAATACTAATACAATTCTGAAACATATTTGCAACCAACATAGCTTAACATGAAAAGCCTGAGGCTCAGTCTAACTGTTACTCTAGTCTATGAAGCCTCTAATAAAGTACTGAAAACAGTAATTGTCTGAAAATACTGAAGACTGTAGTAATAATAATGCCCCGAAAGAACTGGGGATCACCAAATAGCTGGTACGAGAATCCTAGAGCTCTGAATCGTCAACCTGTAAATCATTACCTGCATCGTGAGATGCAGGCCCCGGGCAAAAGGGACGTCAGTACATTTGAATTGCACTGGTATGTAAAGCAACTGAAAGAAAGAATTATAAATGCTGAAACTGAAACTGAGCTGATAACTGAGAATTGATAATTGATAACTGAAATGATAACTATCAAAACTAAAATGAACCGATAACCGATAACCGATAACCGATAACCGATAACTGGAAGTAAGGATATGAATACTCCCTCTTCTTAATGATGAACAACCTGTTTATCTAAATATTAAACTGCGGCCTCGGGCCCAAGTATACGTATACATAACTGCGACCTCAGGTCCAAGATGCATAAAGCATAAACTACGGCCTCAGGCCCAAATACAGGTGTTCAACATCCAGGAAATGAGAATCATATTGCAATACATGATAGTGAAATATTGAATTACACTGAGTTACATGATACTGGAATACTGGATCACACTGAGTTACATAATACTGGAATGCTGAATCACACTGAGTTACACAATACTGGAATACTGAATGGGACTAGACTGAGACATGTATTCTGAACTGATTATGAACACTGAAACTTCAACTGTTTATGGCATACTGAGTAATCTATACTAAGACTCGGGGGCATCAAACCCAAGTCTATATTGAATACGCACTGAGCTCACAACTTTCAGAATGAAAGTCATGAACGAGTTATGAAGCTAAAGAATAGAAGTTCTGCAACTATTCAAGGAACTAAGCTTAACTATATTTCTGAGGCAACTAGTAACGTTGTAAAAGAAACGTAGTGTAGGGAGAATCATTAAGATTCCCAAACATAGAGAGTTAGCCTCACATACCTTAACTTCCTGTCCTTGAGCGTAATACAACATTCGTCAACCCTTTCAACTTTAATCTATATCAATACAAGTCAAAAGGGATTCAAAATTAGCAACAATACTCATGTTTTGGTCACTTAGGCATTTTATCAAACACTTGGTGGCATAAAGCTTCATAGCCCTTATTAATGGTGTCTCTACACCCAGTAACCCATTCTCTTGCTTCTAGATAAATTCTAAAGTCTCAAATGGTTATAATCAATATTATTCTTTATCACACATAAGGTAAACAACACCCTTAACCAATAATCAACAATCAACAACCCAAACCTATAACCGTTCATGCTTTTCTATCAAACCCATCAACTCATATCTCATGAACTAGAGTCTATAATCATTTATTCAATGATAGAATCAATTAGAGGGTGAAAGATATTACCTTTTCGACGTTCAATCTTCTTGAATTCGAGTTCTAGGGTTTCTTCTCTCAACAATGGTGTCCCAATCGAATATTTAATGATATAGAGGGTTTACCGATGTTAATAAGGTGTTGGGAATTGAAATAAACTTAGAATGGCCATTAGAACTTACCTTGGATGGTGGAGGGACCTTTATGGAGTTAGGTCTTTGAGAGCTTTCCTTTCTAGAGCAAGTTTTTATGTTTTGGGGCCGTGGGGGACGAAATAGGGCTAAAAAAACGACTTCCCAAGTTGGCCACCGCGTCCCAGTAGGCCCGACCGCGGTAAATCGCTGGAACACTGCCTCACGACCGCGGTCGCGGTCAAACGCGGCCGAACGCGGTGGTTACGCACCATTCTGTAAAACGGGCATAACTTTTTGCACAGAGCTCCGTTTGGGCTCCACAATATATCGTTGGAAAGCTATTTCAAAGGCCTATAACTTTCATGCTTTGAATTTTCCCAAATTCCTTACACATTTTCACTAAACCCCTGCTGGAAGACAGACCTTCTGCAAACTTAGTCGATTTTGTCAAATCTTATGCACCTCACTTTCCATCTTGATTCCAAAACAACTATGTTTACCCATACTCATCCCGCTAGGACTTCATATGTCTAAAATATCAAGTTAATACCCATTTAATAAATCCACACCTAGTCCGAATGTATTGGATGTTACATAATTAATAACAACCTTTAAAGTTTAAGCTGTTTTNATTCGCGATATTACATCATAGAAACGAGATATGTCATTAGTGTATAGATTACGAGCCTTTTCCCAAACTAAATAACATGTCTGGAATGGACGGAACAAGGGCATCAACTTGGAATCAATAGATCGCCACAGGATACTACATAACTGAGCATCGACCTTCTCCCACTGTGTTTTGGCCTTTTCATCACCTTCGCTAGCCTTTTTTGTTAAATGATCTTGAACTCCTTGACCTTTACACCACAACTCGACAGATGAAGCCCAATCTAAGTAGTTTGAACCTCCCATTAAAGGTTCTGAGGTAATCATAACACCGGAACTGCCAGAACCCGGGTTTCTAGACCCGAAAGCATCGACTCCCAAAGACATGGTTGGATTATCACCAAATAACAAAAAGAATCAACTGAAAATTCTCTGAAACAGATGAAGAAAACACTGTGTTTGCCGGAAAAGTACTGTAGCTGCCGGAAAAATCAGTGTAGTCGCCGGAAAAACTCAAAGTGGTCGGAATTAAAAAATAAAATTATGGGTAGGCTCGGAATTTGAGGGCGATCCAACTGCCCTGAAGGAACTTCGTCAAAAAATGGCCGGAAAGTGGTGCACGCGCCGGCGCGTGGGCTCACGCGCGTGAGCTTCTGGTGGCGCGTGGAGGCGCGTGGGGTACTGTTTGCCGGAGATTTTTTGTGGGGTTTGGTCGCCGGACAGTGGCGACTCTTTTGGTAGTGTTGGATTTTGCACAACACTGACAGAGACAAAGCAGACGCAAACAGGCTTGAAAAAGTCGCCGGAAAAAAGGGTTCCGATGACTGATTTCTCTTCCCGGAATTGCTGGAATTTATGCACAGCGATAAACCTCTCACAATTGCTCTGATACCATGTGAGAATGCACGGGAGAAAATATATTATTGATGTATTGACATATGTTACAATGAGCCCTATATATATACACACACATAACATGTCCTACTCCTAATATATATTGGATTAAGGTTATTTATTTACTCCTATTTACATGACTATTCTAACACCTTGTATGTCTTTGATTTAAGAAATAAAATATTTGTGGATTTGTCATAGTCCTTTATGATAATTCTGGCACTAATTAACAAGTTTGGAATATAAAATGCCCTGGGTACTCCTTTTGATTTTGGGTCCAATATTATGTAAAAGGAAAAAAGCATGTGCAGATTTTAACTTGCAATATTTGCTTTCATAATTCAGGTATCTCTTTTCAAACGTTTAAGGCTTCCAGGTAGCAGCTGGACTTCACAGGCACAAGATCTTCATCAGCAGTTGTGGCGAATTCATAAAGATGAATTTATGGGTTCATTTGCAATTATGAGGTATTCAAATTGTTTCATGTGTTATTATCTCCATCTGAAGTACATATATTTGTCCAAGCGTAATTTACTCCTGCTTTGGTTTTGAAGATACAACCTCATACAACTATTTCTGCAAAATGAGCAGAGTTCTCATCTGAGGAAGATGATAGTTGATCTGGAGGTGAATGCTCTACTTAAGTATGAAATTTGATTTGCAGCTCCTCAGCCACAGCCCTCTTTAATGAATGAGAAGAAAATCTTACCTTTGAAATTCTGCAGGTGCCTAGGTTTGATAGTGGATGTCAATTTAGTCAAGACCCTGCCATCTCATACATTTGGTCAGAGAAAAACTTGAATGACGATCAGCGCCAAGCCATACTTAAGGTGAAAAGTTATAGAAACTCTCTATAATTGGGTTTATATCTGCACCTGCAAATCAAAAGTATTGTGAATTATCAGAATCTTAATTGGATAAACCAGATACAAAGCAAAACTTACAGCATTCGAGTTGTCATAACCCTCAACCATATCAAACTGTCAGAATTGTATTGTGAATTATCAGAACAGCGTCATATATAATTGTCATTAATGCAGATACTTACGGCAAAGGATTATGCGCTGATATTAGGAATGCCAGGGACAGGCAAAACATCCACTATGGTCTATGCTGTGAAGGCGCTGTTGATGAGAGGTTCATCCATTTTGCTTACCTCCTATACAAACTCAGCTGTTGATAATCTGCTTCTCAAACTGAAGGCTCAGGTCATCTCCATCCTTGATGCTTCTATTAGAAACTTATTGCTTTGACCTTTATTTAACTACTACGCTGTATCTCAAAAATTTAGAAGGTATAAGCTGTAGAACTGGTGTCAACATAGTATAAAATTCTTGCTTTAAAATTATCTTCGGAAAGCTAGATTTAGCAAACTGAAGAAATCTATATTTGGTACAAGGTAGGCATAGGAGTTGATGTGTAGCATTAGATGAAACTGGTTGATTTAGGAAGGGCCTACTATGGCGACTACACTAGCTGCTTCTACTGGTATTAGTATTACATCATTATTTCCTCTTTATCCTTCGATCATTTAGAAGCATACACCTCACATTTTACTACCTCAAATCTCCTGAAATAAATTCTAGCATAAAGCTGCTTGGTGGTAACTCAACTCCATCGAATAAAATCCTTTTTGAATCACCAAATTGTCGCATTCATTGAAATCCCTTCCTCCACTTGTGAGAATTTGATGCATATGCAATGTGGTCAGTGAATGGGCATTAAGGAGGATCTCCAGCTGTCATTTGAAGCTCTGCTGGAAGTATGTGTTCTCTCATGGAGTAAGGGGTTGAAGGAGCCATCAAGGAATTGGATATCCCTTTAGAAAAGGCTGGAAGACCCTTTTAGATGCGAAATTCTTCGTTTTTTTTCCTCACATGCTTCCCGTTGGTCAATGACCAACCAAGGTGCTCTATATTTACTTTGAAGTTTGATTCCCCATATTGTAGATCATGTATAACTTGGTCTCACCATGAAAAGTTTTAGATAGCGCTGTTAAGCTGTTGATGAATTAGTAGACAAGCTATTCGGATATATGTTAGTGGGGCTTAGGCGAAGGGACAAACAAATATAATCTATTAGCTTCATGGCAGAAAACCAAAATTCTATCCTTATAACTCTTATCCTCACATACATTTAGATCAAATCAAGAGCCTGCTGATTTCTAAGGTAAAAAATAACGCAATTACCTCTTCGAGTATAAATGTATCAAGTTAAAGATCCTTCTTTTTATCCATTTAGATATTCAACTATATGCAGCCTCTCTGCAAGTAAAATGAAGCTGATTGACTGACATGTAAGCGTTATCGAGGAAAATCTCTCTTTTCTTCTTCCTCTAAGGGCATGGTTTTTTGAAATGTCCTGCTAGGAATGATTTCTCGACATGCTTCACCTACATATTACGGAGTATCATTTATTTTTCCTAGTGCTTTCATTCTCTGGTATGCTTCTGCTGGCTGCCAACCACAAGGCACAAATAATGTAGTGCTTTTACATTTACATACAATCCTACTGCATTACCACTTCCGTGGACATTGGGACTAACATATATACTGTTGCAGGGTATAGATTTTATTCGTATTGGAAGATATGAGGTTGTACACGAGGAAGTTCGAGAGAATTGCTTATCAAGTTGGTTTCTGGTAACTTTGTCAAAAAGTTTGCTTCATGATTGGCCCACAGAATACTAATTTACTGCTGGACTTTCTCCTACAGTGATGGACACTCGTGGTCTTGAAGAGATAAAGCAAAGGATAGAGCAAAGCAAAGTTGTTGCTGTTACTTGTTTGGGGATAACTAGCCCATTGCTTTCAAACAAGAGATTTGATGTGTGTATCATGGATGAAGCCGGACAAACTACGTTGCCGGTACGTTTCTATAGTTTGTGTTGTAGTGCATTTGAACATTTTGGTCAGTAGAGGTCGTGAATGAGGTTAAGCTTGTCAAAGTTGCTATTGCTGATTGCAATTGTTCTATATGTCCCAATTAATAATCTTTCTAATTTTTTGATAAGGTAAAGTTTTATTAATGAAGGTACCAAGATGGTACAATTACGCCAGACCAAAAACTGCCATAATACTTATCAACTACAAATTGACTATCTCTCTAAGAAATCTATGTATTGTTCTAGATTTTCAATAACACTCCTTTTTACCAAAAAATAAATAAATTCAAAAGACATCTATTTTTCTCATAACCAGGCCCATCAGGAGGTCAAACAGATGGTCAAGCAAGCTAACCCTAATCTGTTGGACCATAATTATTATTCTAAAGGCAAAATAGGGAAGAGGCCCAATGGTTTCTTTAGAGGGAAGGGAAAGAAAGAGTGGATAGTTATTGGGCCAGCCCAATCTCTTAAATCACCTAAAGTCCCATATACGGTTTCTCACAAGGGGATTAAAACAAAAATTGACAAGTCTGCTTCTCAGTCCTCTTATCAACCAACGACTGTTATGTTCCCAGAGAAGAATTGCAACCTTGGGTATGAGGTCTCCAGTGAAGAGCAAATTGATTCTGATGATGAAGCCGACCACATGCAATTTTTTCCTCTTCTCTCCCTTCCGTCAACATATCTAGATCTTTCCATGGTTAGAATACGGGATTCTGATATTTCTTCTCCCTCTGGTTGTGACACTTTGTCCTTACCCCGGTATGAAGAAAACCTCCATGCACAGCAGGTCATCAATGCACCAATGGTTATTGAGACCTCTCATTGGACCAAGGTTGCTATGACCAAAGCATGCAAAGCTTTCGGAGTAAACTCAGTTGGATTTGAACATGAAATTTTTGATATGATCCTCAGAATGGAGCAAAAGAGGCATTCACAAACACAGTTGCAAAAGGGAAGAAGTGAGGGGAAGAAACCAAAGAACAAGGGGGAAAGAGAAGCAAGGTTGCTGGAATGCACACTTACATATGAAAAGGGTGAAGGGTCTGACAGGGGCAGGTTTCACAAATCCTTTTCAGAATGAGAGCAAAAATTATTAGCTGGAACATAAGGGGGCTCAATGACGAGAGCAAGCGAAGCACTATTAAGGCACTTATTCAAAAGTGGAAACCTGACATTTTGTGTTTGCAAGAAACCAAAACTTAAACTTGTTTTGTGGCTATAGCTAGGCAGATTTGGGGCTCGAGATGGGTCGAGTGGACTGAGTTGAAGGCAAGTGGCAACAGAGGAGGGGTAATAATTCTGTGGGATAAAAGACAGTGGAATTGCGTTGACTCTTTGCAAGGGAAGTATTCTATCTCTACAATGCTTGAAGGGGTTCAGATTGATCTCAGACTGTGCTTCACAGGAGTATATGGTCCTCATACTAACTGGGAGAGGATTGAATTTTGGGAAGAACTAGCTGCTGTAAGGGGTTTATGGAATGATAGTTGGATTCGATTTTAATGTATGTCGTTTTGAGAATGAAAGGTTCAATTGTATAAGAAGATCAAGGGCTATGAAAAGATTTTCTGACTTCATTCAAGACATGGGCTTGGTGGATCTCCCTTTACAGGGAGCTTTTTACACTTGGGCTAGGGGTGAAAATTCTCTACAGGCATCAAGAATTGACAGGTTTCTGATCTCTTCTGAATGGAATGATCTCTTTGGTTCAATTCAACAACTAGCCCTTCCTAGAGTTGTTTCTGATCATAGGCCTATTGCCTTGGAAAGTGGAGATTGGACTTCTGAACCTTCTTATTTTAAATTCGAAAACATGTGGCTACAACATGAAGGGTTTTGTGATATGATCAAACAATGGTGGCATGGTTATGTGGTAAATGGCTCCCCTGACTTTGTACTATCCCAAAAGCTTAAACTTCTAAAGAAGGATTTAGCAATCTGGAATAGGGAGTCATATGGTAGAATTAGCACCAGAACCAACAAAGCTATGGAAGAACTATTATTAATGGAACAAGCAACTGAAGGAAGACTGCAGACTCAAGCTGAAACAAATAAGATCCTTTAGCTAAAAATGGAGTTACAACAATTAGCCAAGGTTGAAGAAATATCATGGAGACAAAAGTCAAGATGCTTGTGGTTGAAAGAGGGCGACAGAAATACAAAATACTTTCAAAAGGTAGCCAATTCTCACAGGAGGTATAACTGCATTGACAGACTACAAGTGGGAGAGGATATCATTGAAGAAAAGGAACAGATTAAAAGGGTAATATTAGATTTTTATCAAGCTCTATACTCTGAGAATGAAACTTGGAGACCTAGTTGTACTTTTGAAGGCTTGGGTTGTTTGAACAATGAGGAGAAGGATGCCTTGGAAGTTGCTTTTGAAGAGGAGGAAGTTTTAGATGCTATCAACTCTTGCGCACCTGACAAAAGCCCTGGCCCTGATGGTTTTACATTGGCTTTTTATCAAAGATGTTGGGAAACTGTAAAACTGGATGTCATGGGGACTTTCAACCACTTCCATAGAAACTGTCACATGGTTAAGTCATTTAATGCCTCTTTTATTGCTCTCATCCCTAAAAGGAAAGGAGCAATTGAACTCAAAGATTTCAGACCTATTAGTCTTACTAGTAGTGTCTACAAGATAGTGGCAAAAGTGCTGACCGAGAGACTTAAAAAGGTGATCGGGAAGTTGGTCTCTGGCTACCAGAATGCTTTTATTAAAGGCAGGCAGATTACAGATGCTGCACTAATTGCTAATGAAGTCTTGGATTGGAGGCAAAAAAATGGTGAACCTGGCGTGCTCTTTAAGCTTGATATAGAGAAGGCCTTTGACAAAATCAATTGGCAGTATCTCATTTCAATTTTATGGCAGATGGGATTTGGTGAAAAATGGATCAGATGGATTAGATATACCTTCTCCACAGTCAAATATTCTGTTCTTGTTAACAGAAGCCCTGTTGGCTTTTTCTCCCCTGAGAGAGGGATAAGACAAGGGGATCCCTTGTCCCCTTTCTTATTTATTCTAGCGATGGAGGGACTTAGCAGAATGCTGGAAAAAGCGAAGCAAATGCATTGGATGCAGGGTTTTGATGTTGGCAACAACTCTGGCTTAACAGTTTCAGTGTCTCACTTACTGTTTGCTGATGATACCCTCATTTTCTGTGGTGCTGAGAAGTCTCAAGTTGAATATCTCAATCTTACTCTGTTGATTTTTGAAGCTTTGTCAGGGCTGCACATTAACATGTCAAAAAGTGTCATTTACCCTGTTAATGTGGTCCCAGAACTAGAGATGTTGGCTGATTTAATGTGTTGCACTACAGGTTCATTCCCTACCACCTACTTAGGCCTCCCATTGGGTGCTAGACACAGATCAACTGAGATATGGAATGTGGTCATTGAAAAATTTGAGAAAAGACTAGCGTCCTGGCAGCAACAATATCTTTCTCTTGGTGGCAGACTAACTCTCATAAATAGTGTGTTGGACAGCATACCAACCTATTTTATGTCTCTCTTTCCAATTCCTATCAAAGTCCAAAAGCAGCTAGATAAACTCAGATGTTCATTCTTGTGGGAAGGCAACAGCAAGAACCATAAATTTCACCTTGTCAAATGGGCCAAGGTAACACTTCCTAAATCACTCGGAGGTCTAGGGGTAAAGGACTTGGCTTTACATAGCAAGAGCATGCTAATGAAATGGCATTGGAGGTATAATCAGGAAGGAGTTGGTCTCTGGAAGGAGGTTGTTCAAGCTAAGTATGGCTGTCAAAATCACTGGTGTACCAATACTGTTAGATCTAACTATGGATGTGGGCTGTGGAAGGGTATCAGGAAGCTGTGGGATGTCTTCACTGTTGATTCAACCCTTCAGGTGGGAAATGGGGAGCATATCTTATTGTGGAAAGATAAGTGGTTAGGCCATACTACACTGATGGATGCTTATCCAAGACTATTTTCTATTGCTACTAACCCAGACTCTACAGTTGCGCAGAATTGGGAGGTTAACTCATGGAACCCAAGCTTAAGAAGAAATCTGAATGACTGGGAGTTTGATGACTTGGTAGCACTTCTTGGCAGCCTTCACAATAGTTCAACCATTACTCCAGGCAGGGACAAACTCAGATGGGGCAGCAGTAGGAGTGGTGCATACTCAGTCAGAGCTAGTTATCAAACCTTAAGCTCCAGGAAGGAAATGATTGATCAGTGACCCTGGAAACTAATTTGGAGGACAAAAATGCCTCCAAAGGTCAGTGCTTTTTGCTGGATAACTCTAAATGGAGCATTCCTAACCCATGACAATCTCATCCGAAGGGGTTTACAGCTTGCTAACAGATGCTACATGTGCCAAAGCAACTCTGAAACAATCAACCATTTATTTCTTCATTGTCCAGTTGCAACAGACATATGGTCCATGTTTCTTTCACTCTTTGGTTTGCATTGGACAATGCCATGCAGTGTTAAGGAAGTTTTTGTGAGTTGGAGTTCATGGAAAGTTGAGAAGTCCATCAAGAAAATCTGGTCTATGGTTCCTGCTGCTATATTTTGGTGCTTATGGACAGAAAGGAATCAAAGATGCTTTGATGGCATCTCAACTGCTAGATACCTACTCAAGGCTAGATGTTTGGTCACTCTTTTTAGTTGGGTTAAACTCTCCCCTATGTATAACTCTGACCAATTTATGGAATTTATCAGCTCTCTAGTCTTATGATAGATTTTTCGTTGCTCTCTTCTTATGGGCTGATATCTTCTTTTATTTTGTAATACGTGCATCCACTGGATGCTTTTGTCAATAATACACTACTTACTTCATCAAAAAAATAAAAATAATCCTGGATACATGCTGTCTTATCCCTTCAAAGCAAACTCTGTTTCTCTCCAACCATGTTGTCCATGAGACACAGGGGGATTGTTCTCCACACTGGCTGCTGACTTCTTGCCACTTGTTGATGTTGCCATGTCTCCAGCAGACTTTTTACATTTTGTGGCATAACCCATTTGATACCATACAAACCAAGGAATAGCTCCCAACACTGTCTTGCCACATTGCAATGAATGAGGAGATGATCGACTGTTTCTAATTCTTCTTCACACATATAGCATCTATTAATTAAAATAGTTCCTCTCTTCTGTAGATTATCCTGATTTAAACAAGCTTCCTTTGCTGCCACCCACCCAAAACATGCTACTTTAACAGGAGCTTTTGATTTCCATATAGCTTTCCATGGCCAATCAGATTCATACCTCCCTTGTTGCTTCTGTAAAAGAGTATAACCTCTGCTAACTATGAATTTCCCATCATTACTTGCTGCCCAAATCATTGAATCTCTCCTATTGCCCTCCAAACTGACACTGTCCAGCAATTGCATTAACTGCGCGAATTAATCTACTACCCAGTCATTAAGGCCCCTCCTGAAGATCAACTGCCATCCATTACTTGAGTAAAAGCCTGCTACCTTCCCATTCATGTCAGAGAAGCAGCGATATAAAACTGGAAATTTTGATTTGAGACTTTCATTCCCCATCCATACATCAATCCAGAATTGGATATTTTTACCATTCCCCAGCTTCAACTTTACAAACTGACTACATTCTTTCCATAGACTTCTGATAGTGCTCCAAAGTCCCCCTTTGGAAGAGGATTGGACTGCACGAGGAGTCCAAAAATCCTTCCTGCCATATTTGACATCTATGAGTTGTTTCCATAACCTATTGCTTTCATCATTATATCTCCAAAGCCACTTAAATAATAGGCTTTTGTTGTGCAGCCTTAAATTCCTTACCCCCAAAACAATCTCTTTTGCTTTTCCGTTTCTATGTTTTTAGAGCTAGTTATATTTATGAACTACATCCGTCACTAGATGACAAGTCCTTACTTGAAAAACAAATGACAATATTAGATTTACAATCCAGGTATCATTGGGACCATTGACATTTGCATCAAAATTTGTTCTAGTTGGGGATCATTATCAATTACCACCACTCGTCCAGGTAATCTTGATTCTCTCTGTGTTGAGCTCCAATGCTTGTGTAACTTGTGATACCAAAACTTCGAACTGTTTCCATGTTAGAGTGCAGAGGCTAGAGAAAATGGAATGGCAGTAAGCCTGTTCTGCAGACTCTCAGAAGCTCATCCCCAAGCAATTTGTGCTTTGCAAAGCCAGGTATCTTCAAATTTCAATAAGATGTTTCTTTCCACCTCTGAAGTTCGTTTGGGTTAATATAGTTGCCACTACTATGCTGCAACTTGCAGTACCGCATGTGTGCAGCCATAATGGAATTATCAAATGCCTTGATATATGGTCACAGATTGCGATGTGGTTCTTCTCAAGTAGAAAATGCCAAAATCAAGTACACAACATTGCCATCTGGACCTACGTGGATAAAGGAGGTAATAGTCAGTGATTACATTGCTTCCAAGTACAATGCTGCTTTATTTTAGTAATGATCCAAACATAAGAGGCCTGCCTCAGCTAGAAAAGAATGATCTTAGGATGGAAAATAGATGTCGCTTCCAAGTATGATACTACTTTATTCTATATATTCCAAACTATAGAGGCCTGCACCTTCTATAAAGAGATTGATGCCTGGATGGAAAATACACCTGGTGAAACTTGTCCATTCTTTGAGCACTCATAAGTTCTTCCCTGTATATAAGTTAAGCGTTTGAGCTGCTGGTTCATTTCTGCAAAGTTAATTCCGGCAATAAAATTCCACTCAAATCTGCACTTTCTACTTGCTTCTCAAGGAGCAAGTCTGCTCATATTTTCATGTCATAACCACAGTGATGCTCTCTCATCTTAGAGTGATTTACGCTTTCATTTATATATACTTTTTCAATGTACTTATTTAGGTATATGCACTCAAATTAAAGAGGTGTCATGTAAAACCTAGTGCACTTTTTAGTTTTTAGTGTTTCCGTCTGGTAACTAGACACAATATAAGATATCTTTTGCCTGTCCTTTCTTTTCTGTCCTGACTCTCGAGAAAATAGAAAGATCCAGTTTCTAACTGAAGCTCTACTACTTGTGAATTCTGAGGTTTTTTATTGGTTGATCTAATAGGTTTATTAGACTACTGAGGAGAAAACAGAATAACCTAAACACATGTTCTTCACTACCCTTGTATTAATGAGACCGAATTGCTGGTTGATCTCTCTTACAACAACAACAACCCAGTAAAATCTCACTAGTGGGGTCTGGAGAGGGTAGTGTGTACGCAGACCTTACCCCTACCCCAAAGGAGTAGAGAGGCTGTTTCCAAAAGACCCTCGACTCAAGAAAACAAAAAGACAAAAGGAGACAATATTATTATCACCACAGAAATCATAGGAAAAATAGGAACAACATGAAATCCAGAAGAAAGATGCAAAGCAAAAGCGATAGCTAATAAATAGATCCTGCACTGAAAAGCGAAATAGTAAGACACAACATTGCCACTAGCTATTTTAGACAAAAACCCTGCCAGACTAGTCTCACAAAGGTACGAAGTAAGGCAAGACTCAACTACCTCCTAACCTACAACCCTAATACTCGACCTCCACATCTTCCTATCAAGTGTCATGTCCTCGGAAATCTGAAGCCTCGCCATATCCTATCTAATCACCTCTCCTCAATACTTCTTAGGCCGCCCTCTACCTCTTCTCGTGCCCTCCACAACCACCCGCTCACACCCTTCTGGATATGTGAGTTCTTAACAGGCCAACACTCAGCCTCATACATCATGGTCGGTTTAACCACCGCTTTATAGAACTTACCTTTGAGTAACGGTGACACTCTCTTGTCATACAGGACTCCAGATGCTAACCTCCACTTCATCCATCCTACCCCAATACGGTGTGTGACATCCTCGTCGATCTCCCCTCCCCCCTGGGTAACCGACCCAAGGTACTTGAAGTTACCTCTACTTGGGATGGCCTGTGATTCAAGCCTCACATCCACGCCCACTTCCCCCGACTCAGCGCTGAACTTACACTCCATGTATTCCGTCTTCGTCCTGCTCAGCTTGAAACCCTTAGACTCAAGAGCCTGTCTCCAAAACCTCCAGCCTATCGTTAACACCGACTCGCGACTCATCAATCAGAACTATGTCATCGGCGAGTAGCATGCACCATGGCACCTCCCCTTGAATATGGTGTGTTAACGCGTCCATCACCAAGGCGAATAAGAACGGAGTAAGCGCAGAACCTTGGTGTAACCCCATCACAACCGGAAAATGCTCAGAGTCGCTTCCTACTGTCCTAACCCGAGTCTTAGCCCCATCATACATGCCCTTAATCGCCATAATGTAGGGAACCGACACACCTTTTGCCTCCAAGCATCTCCAGAGAACTTCTCTAGGAACCTTGTCATACGCTTTCTCTAGGTCAATAAACACCATGTGCAGATCCTTCTTCCTCTCTCTAGGAACCTGGTTGATCTCTCTTGTGTTTCAAAAAGTGAAATTTGTCTACCTGCTGTCCAAAGTTTATCATTGCACAATCTTAAAGGTCCTTAAAAAGGATGATTCTTACCATAGTAATGATTCATACAAAGTTGTACATAACTGACAAGGAGGAGTTCAACTTTGTATACAAAGGTCGTGATGGAAATGTAGAACAGTAGGAGAAATTTTACCAAGGGAGAGATTTAGTGCAGTGACTTGGTGTGATCATTATATGACAAGGACGATCTCATCTTAAGCAATTATATTCCTTGCAGAAAAATATGTTGTATGAATTGTGAGAGTTAATACCCCAACTGCTTGTCGTCTTATTCTGTGAAATAACCTGGTATGATCTGTCTTAACAGGCTTTGAATCCAGACAGACCTGTCGTCTTTATAAACACAGGTCAGGCAAATTTCTATCTCAAATCAAATTATGCAGGCTTGTCAAATGCACTTTAAATGTTCTTGTCCTAAGCTGTTGCCTTATCTGCTTTTCCAAACTAGATTTGTTGCTTGCATTTGAAACAAATGACCGTAAAGCTGTAAATAACCCAATGGAAGCAAATATCATTGCTGAGGTATGAATGTCTCTTGCTTCTTCCGTGAATATTAATGACCATTAGCATCAGATCACAAGAAATATATTAAGCTGCAATTTCTGTATAATGATTTTGGCCTACAGATAGTGCGTAGGTTGTTGAGCGGAGGTATATTGGAGGAAGATATAGGCATCATTACACCCTACAACTCTCAGGCAGATCTTATCCGGCAATCTGTTTCCACATCAGTGGAGATACATACCATTGATAAATACCAGGTAATATATGTTGATGTAATCACATTCTTGAAAAACATCTTAAATTTGCAACTTTTCTTATTCATTAAAAAAGACAGCTGCTTTATGGCAGGGTAGTAGAAAGGGAAAGGAAATCACTAGACCAGTCTTACTAGAAACATATCTGTCTATGGTTATTCTCTGACACGTTTGTAATTGTCAACTACATACATAGGCGACCTAGTACAGTTTTGAACTATAGGGTCCTGAATGCCAGCTGGAAGTAGAGAGCAGAAAAATGGTTGGCTTTCCGTTTCTGAAACAGAAGTTCAAGAAGCCTAAAACTTCTCAATACCCTAGCCCAGAACAAGTGGTCTAATCCCTCGCATCTCACAATGCTACTTCAGAGACACTTATGTTCACCTGACTTTGCCTAGAAAAAAGCCCCAAGTCCTTGTCCAGTTGTTCGTTATCTATCCTCAACTGTTTAAGATTATCTGTGCCAGCTGTTAGCCCCAAGAAGCTCGTTTGGCAATTCATGAATGATCCAATCTACACGATTGTTTGCTTTTAGAATCATTTTCTGTGGCTCATGGTGGTCTTGCAGTTACATCAACTAACTTGATTTCTTAGGTAGAAAGGACTAAGAGATCGGTACATTCCCTAATTGTTCTAATGTAATCTACTCTTTGCAGGGAAGGGATAAAGATTGCATTCTGCTATCCTTTGTAAGGTCAAGTGAAAATCCAAGAAACTACGTTTCTTCATTGCTTGGAGACTGGCACAGGATTAACGTGGCTCTTACACGTGCTAAGGTTTAGATACTGTTCCTTGAGATATTAGACTGAAAATTTTGCTCTATTTGAGACTTTGTGAAGTTCCTCAGATTATATGGAATAATGTACTTCTCTTTTGATTGAACAGAAGAAGTTGATAATGGTAGGTTCATGCATTACACTGTCAAACGTGCCTCTGCTAAAACTTCTCATAGAAAAGGTGGAAGAGCAAGGTGGCATTTTGAGCGTCTCCAAGAAGGATATTGCTCATAAGCCGGAACTGAAGAGATGTTCCACCCTGAGATGATGGTAAAGATGGNNCGTAAGAATGAGACCCCCACCCCCCACCCCCCCTAAAAAAACCCCCCAAATTTGCTATATTGTAAATTATTGCAAAATCCAGTCAGGGGTTGAATTTTTGTATTCTAATGCAAATGTAAATATTAATGCTCTGCGAGACCGAGAACCAGCCATTCACTCTTGTGTAAATAATAGTGAAAGTTCCTGGTTGAAATGAAATTGTTCAAGGTTAAACTTCACATTTCACGTATGTCTATAAGATGTATCAAATTGCCATTCCAATGCTGGTAAATTGCTAGAATGTTTTTACACTGGGTCACCTTTCATTAGTAACGGAATTGACAGACATTGGTCAATATAGCTAATTTAATTTGCACCTTCAATTTCGCTGCATTATGTTGTCAAAATTCACCGAGTGTTTTTGTTCGCAAAATAAATAAGGACCAACTATAAAAGCAATCTTTGTATTGCATTTAGCCAATGAGGTAAAAAATGGTATTATAAGATGTGATGAGAATTCTCGAATTGATTTACAGGGGTGCCGTCCAACATGTTTAGTAAGGTCAAGGTATTCTGCACACTCAGGTAGAAAAATGGAAGCAAGACAAATTCCCATTGGTATAATAAAATCTCTCTATGAAATTTAAATATTATTTAGTTATTATAGACAAAAATTATCCAAAGAATCATTTTTTTTAGAACTTACAGTAAAAGATATAAAAAAAATTACTTAGATTTAAAACCTCAAAAGATAAGCATATTTCACTAAACAAAAAACTAAAGAAAGCTAATATATTATTAACAAGTATATATCGATGTAATTTTCTTTGTCAAAATTGGTGCTGTATTGAAGATTCAAAATATATGTGGCTTTATGACAACAGAGCATTAGTAGTGCTTTCTTTAATATGAAAATAAATGACTATTAACATAAGTGAAAAATAATAATGTCAATTAATATTTGAGCATACTGTTAAAATGATAGTTGTTATAGATAAAAAGGTTATTATAACCAAAAAAAACTTTACTGTTAATAGCGGAATGTTATTTCCCCTGAAGTGCAATCGAAATGTAGTTTCTGAAGTAAAATCACCGGAAGCAGATACAAAAACACTGCGAGAAACCTATTACAACACTATCTGGTTCATTTGTGAAAACAATACTACCAGTAACAATAATAATAATAATAACTACCAGAAACCGGCCAACTTCTTTGGAAAAAGAAATTCTAGTTTTCCAGGGAAAGGAAAAAGGGAAGGGGAGCAGGGGAAAAAAGATAATGGAAAATCGAACCACCTTTTAATTTATTGTGTGAAAAATGCCCACGGGTAGCATTGCAATATAAGCTTTGGTGGTAAGCACAACTTAATTTCCTAAACTATTATATAGTTTGTTTTGAAGTGGAGATTCACATGCTTGTTGGATACACAGTTCATGTACCAGTTGAAATAGCTGTTTAAGATGGCATCCGTTGTATTTTTGTCGAGAGCAAAACTCACCATCATTTGCACAAGTGATCTATTTGTGTACGAGATATTTGCAGATACCCAACAAAATAATCAAGTCTCTGTAATCAAATTCATTGCCCATATTTTGGGCTAGTTAACAGACAAAACTTCGTATAGTTTAATCAACAAACAAGGAAATAAAAGAAAATGAGTTGGAAAAAGAAACAAAGTTTTTAACCAAATATCCTACCTAAAGCTCTCAGTTCGCTTCTCCTTATAGCAGCTCTCGCAATGTTGGACGGGGCTTTTATCAAACTCTTCAATTCACTGTTGGCTCTCTTCAAAAGGAATAATCTCCTCGGTAACATTTATTATTTCCTCGACTTCAACTTCCTTTGCCTCATATTCCTCCTCTTCGTCACTAGCTTCCCCGTCACGCAACTTCTCCCTCTCCATTTTCTCCTCTTCATGCAGCCGCTTCCACTCGTTAATCCATGCTTCCCATTCTTCTTTCAACTTCTTCCGTTTTTCACGATCTTGCTCGCTCAATTGCAATGAAACATCCTGATCCTCTGCCTCATACTTCTTGCTGTATCTTTTCAAGTTCTTAGCGATCTCTTCCTCTTTCTCCTTGCTCAAGAAAGATGGTGGCCTGGGGCGCCACAAATACTGCAGCAAACAAGAATATTGATGAGTATCCAGCAGGTCATGTAATGAATATAAGCATGTTCCTTCCAAAAAACAGGCGCAGCCAAGCAGAGCATACAACCACATAGCAAATATGAGACGATGAACAGGGAAACTGCGTCAAATATACATTAGCAGCATTCGAAAGATAACAGGAAATCAGTAATTCCCCATCCGCCATTCTGCGACTGCATAGTAAAAGTTGCAGCAAACCCTTGGTGCTGAGACACAAGTCCTAGCACATCAACTAACAGAAAACCAGCCCTAGAGCGTCAAGTATAGCATGTAAGAAACGCATATCTGCGGGAGGGGGGGGGGGGGGGGGGCTAAGGATCAGTAACCATCCCAAACATATAGTAACAATTTAGGAGGCAGAATAATTCGAGCAGTGTGACCAAGTCGCCTATAGGCCAAAGTAGGAACAAGTACAGCGAACAATGTATTGAAAGACTCTTACCTGGAAGAAATGATCCTTAAGTATCCTATACAACAGCTTTCCATTGAAAGACCAAATGTTGAATCCATTTTCCATCTCATGAACCGAGGTAACAGATGTTGCTACATACCTTGAAATACACAATAAAGCAAAAGTATAAGAACCAAAACAGGAAGGTGTCTCAAGGCAAAACTAATGAAAGAGCAAAATTCAATACCTTCCAGTAGGATCCCATTCAACATCTGTGGCCATAAAATGCTCAGCAGATGCCATGGTTTCAAGCTCATCTACATCAAAGAATTCCAACTGCCCATTGAAACCTTTCAGTCCAGCCAAAATAAGGAAGCGGCCTCCAGGTGACCAGTAGAGAGCATTAGCCTGCTTTCCCTTGAGAGTAGTCAGCTTTGAAACACGGCCCGTGTTAGTGCCAGACCGCACAGAGTAGAAACTGATGTCTGGCCTAGGGTTGTCACCATGGATAACAGCAAATCTGTGACCCTTTGGCTCCCAGGCAAATGCAATGATTTTGTCGTTCTTGTTGTCAAGCTCCAAAACCTCAATCGGAATGTCCCGTTCTTTGATTCTGAACAGCTCAAAACCAGTGTAAGTGCTTTTCTTAGTCTTCGTGTACCGGTCAACTTTGACAGCAAGGTAGTCTCCATTGCTTTGCCAATACATTTTGCAATCACTAACACTGAAGAGATTCTTCTGCCTCAACTCCTCTTTGCTTGGGATTTGCACAAGACTGACCTGTCAATTTAATACAGGTTTAATTCAAATGCAAATACAAGTAGTTCCTCCAAATTAGTGATGACTTGCATAAAAGTTTTAGCACAAACCCTGGCAGGTTGATTTCCGCATTCAGGAACAAAAAGTGCAAGAATTGGATCTGCTGGCGACCAACTAAAAATCCATAACATTTTCAACCTTGATAGATT